TCTCTGGTGGCTAATATAAGGTTGAGCTCGTGCTGTTGCCCCCCACTCCTTTCATGGGATGCTACTCTGCTCTCTCATTTCTAGATAACCCCCCCGTCTACACAAAGCTTAGCACGGACTCCTCCATGACTGTCAAAATGGTTGGAAGGGGCAAATAAATAGAGAAGACTTACCAACAAGACTGCTAGAAAGCATAAGGCAAACGACGAGAGGCTTTGTTAAGGAGACCGACAGACATCTGTGCAGAGCACAAAGGGAAGGGAGGGGGAGAATGAGGGACAGAGTTTGCATAAGCCTCATGTGCTTAGGAAACCAGGCTAAAAATGTCCCTTCAGCATCGACTTCAGATGCATTAGCCAAGTAACTCTAGAGATCTGAGCTGTTTGCCCAGGAGATAAATAGCCTCTATTTAGCTTTTTTTACAGTCTCCATCACGTGTGTGTAAACCCCTTACTGACTGATTCTCGATGCCTTCTCCATGAGATGTCACAGGTCGCTGTGCTCAGGTTAGCAAACAGGGAGCCAAGACACAGGAAAGAGGACATCAGAGAAAGGTATGGACACAGCACATATGGACACAGCACAGAGAAAGGTATGGGAACCAGCTATTAGTAGCCAAAGTGTTTATTTGAGGAAACCTCATGTTCACAGAAACCAGCAGTACCAGGAGAAAAAAAAAAAAAGGCCCTCCTAAGCCACATTTTACCCAGCACAAGCTCAGCCTTTGCCTCACCCTCTTGTTCGAGGGCATCAGCAACACGGTTTGTCTCCCTGCAAGAAGTTTCCATCACTTTGCCAGCCGCCACACGCTGCACTGGCTTCACAGGCCCTGCGACAGGTCTTTGCAACAGGCCTTGGGCACTTAAGCCCATACTCATAGTGGGAAAGTAAAATCTCATCTGCTCTTGTCCTTCTGCCAATCTCTAGGCCAAAGGCTTTCACCGGCAGTATCACCGTGGGGTATTCCCACCTCCCTCCCACATCACCTCCATGTCCCTCGCACCGCAACACCCCCTTCGGCTGTGCCAGGCTGCAAACGTGATTCAGAGAGAAAACAGTTTCTCAAAGAAAGGCAAGTGGGCTTTTCCCCATGTGGTTGCAGGGTTTTAAGCCAGATCCAGTTGTCGATCTGGTCCATGGCTCAGTCTCCCACTGGGTCACCTCCCAGAATCAGTTTACCTTGAGCACGGCAAGGGGACAACTGTCCAAAGCGGGAGGAGAGCAGGACCACGGCAGGCTGAACCGTCGGAGGGTGAGCACTCCAGCAAGCCCTAGCCGTAGGGAGGAAAGGGAAGAGAATGGTAACACCTTAAGCCAGAACTGTTAGGCAAAATACATCCTTGTTGTGAGACCCGTAGCTTGAACGTTTACTATTCAGCTGGGATTTCAGCCCCTCAGGTGGGTAACCCCAGGCTTGGGAAAAGGCACCCAGCTTCCAGCTGGGGTGAACTGTGCCCTTCCCCGGCTGCCAAGGGTGCTCTGCTGGCTCATATCCACTGTGCATCTGGCTCGCCCCTGCTCTTGGCACTCCGGTGGCCTTGGCTATGGTACAAGTGCTCAGGCATGTCTTAACAATAGTCAATACACCGATGTGAGCAAAACCATTCTACTAAATTGAAATCTTATCATTCCCACTATTTTTACCTTTCATTTTAATCACATTTGTTCAGCAGACAGATAAAGATGATCATAATGAAGAGGGATCAGCTTCACGCATTAGGCGTTCCTCTTCCACTCAGGAGTGGATTGGGGACACGACCCAGTCATCTCCTTGCAGCAACTGTTCCCATTAATGGTACAGAAGCTCCTGTATTCCAGCCTTTCCTAGAAAGTATTTGGATGCATTTCAAAATCCCCTTCTACCTGGAAACATCTGAGCTTGTGTTTGAGATAGGGACTGCGGTACCCGTGAGGCTGAAAGTCCCTCTTGCCTGCCAGCAACCAACAGCGCTTGCTTGAAGAAAAAGTACAGGAAGGAATCAGGAATAAGACAAAACCTCTCACGATAGACCTCCCACCTGCCCATTAATTTGTGGTTCAAGGAATTCATGAGGGAAAAGCAGCATCCAGAGGTCAATGGTACCCCATGAATTTGTCCAATTTCTGCCTGAATCTGTAGATAAGTTTAGCACTATCTAGGGCAATGAATTCAACAAATCACTTGCTCATGGTGTGGAAGAGTACTTCTTTTTGCTTGATTTAAGCTTCCTACCTGAAGCTGGTTCCCATTGTACTGTGGCAAATTGTGAATGATTGTTCCCTCACATCCTTCAGGATTTTATAGGCCTCGCAATATATCCCACCTCCCCACTAGACATCCTTTGGCTCGATACATTCACAAGAGTCACCAAGACGGCTCTTCCGCAGCTCTGACTTGCTTACTTGTATCTTAACGTAGCAGATAGTGACTGCCCGACTGTTCCTCACTTTGGGGGATTCTGACCTGAATCTCTCAGTGCTCCACCACCGCCAGAGGAAGCTTTGCTTTTAAGTGTTACAGGGTGAATATGCTCTGAAAAAAATGAACTCCCAAACCTCCCACTCCGAGCATCCAAACACAGCCGACCAAAGTCATTCACGATAACCACCTGCGGCTCTCGTACAGAGGCACTGGGAACATACATCTTTCTCTGCCTGTAAAACGCTCCGATGCTCTAGTGAGGTGTCAGTGAAAGCTTACAGAGAGGAATCACGTTGTCTTCAGAGCACAAAAAACTGCCAAACATGACGCCTACGGCCGCACGCTGAACAATGAGAAGAAAAACAGCCGAAGAGCTGCTTTCTCCAGTCGCTTGTCCCATGCAGTTTGGGTTTCCTGGGCAAGGAGAGCGCAGAAGTGGAGGTCTCCATGCAATAAAAGCCGCAGCTCTTTCCTCTTGAATTCTGCAGAAATTCCCTTTTGTTCGTTTTTCAGAGCTGCAGCCGCCCCGGACGCGCTCCGGAAGAAAGCCCCAGCAAACATCCCCTCCTGAAAGGCAGGGGCATCAGACCGGCTGGCCACGCTCCCTCCTCCGGTGCGCTCTCCACATCCGCCGCGTTAACGGGCCAAACACCCACCTTGTTTTGTTTCCCCGCACCTCAGCTCAG